GAAGCCATTGGGGGATGAAACATTAAGTAACATTTGCAGCTGAAAAGCAGGAAAACTAATAGACATGCTGCAGTTATCTCATCAGCCTTCACAGACAAACTCACACTGTACAATGGGCTCTAGAAATCTCTGATCACTAGTGAAAATGTGCATATATTGTGCAAATTATATTTGTAGTACTAACTAATACAGATTGTACTAACTAGAACTACTTTTTTTTAGTTTTAATGTTAGAGATGTTTAACTTCAATAATGTCAAGCATGAATTTGGATAGTATACTGTAGGGTTAGTATTTGGTCTGATACTGATATTATGATATAATTAATAATATGTGTGTGTGTGTGTGTGTGTTTAGTTCTCAGGTGCATTATGGGCTCATCTCTGCTTTCTGTTGCTGAGCAGCTTTTGAAAGACCTTCAGAGAACTTACTCAGAGACAAACCAGAGTAAGTTTAAAACTCACACACTCGCTGATGTCTTGTCAGCTGGATGAAGCCATTGGGGGATGAAACATTAAGTAACATTTGCAGCTGAAAAGCAGGAAAACTAATAGACATGCTGCAGTTATCTCATCAGCCTTCACAGACAAACTCACACTGTACAATGGGCTCTAGAAATCTCTGATCACTAGTGAAAATGTGCATATATTGTGCAAATTATATTTGTAGTACTAACTAATACAGATTGTACTAACTAGAACTACTTTTTTTTAGTTTTAATGTTAGAGATGTTTAACTTCAATAATGTCAAGCATGAATTTGGATAGTATACTGTAGGGTTAGTATTTGGTCTGATACTGATATGTATGTTGTGCTTCAGTGGAAGCAAGAACAGTTTGACCTAAAACATCATAACCTTTTTTTGTTTTAGTTTCTGAAACTTGTTTATTTCTAGGTTAAAGATTTTCAATGTGTTCTCAGACATTTGGACCCCATGTGTCTCGTACAAACATTTGAACAACAGATATTTAGTTATTAACAGTTTCATTGGTTCTCAGGTAAATTCCAGAATGGATAGTAACACTGTACAGAATCAACATTTTACCCCATTAACAATGAGTAATGACTTCTAATTCTGGGATGGGCAAACCTGTTCCTGGATGGTCACTGTCTCTGCAGAGTTTAGCCTGATAAAACTCACCTGAATGTAGCTTTATGGTAATCCTGAAGGCATTGATTAGCTTATATTCAGGTGTGTCTGATTAGGGTTGTAGCTAAATTCTGCAGGACAGTGACCCTCCAGGAACAGTTTGCCCATCCCTGTTCTAACTAATATTTTTTACATCTTTATTACAGCTTTCATGTAAGGGTGATGTTGTGACAGCTGTAGAGAACTGCTTTGGGTCAGTACAAGTTTCACAATGTTCACATAAGGTAAGTGTACATTTGATTTTATTTGATTTTATATTGTCATTAGGGGTGTAACGGTACACAAATATGACGGTTCGGTATGTATCTCGGTTTTGACATTACAGTTCTGTATGATTTCGGTACAGCAGGGGGAAAACCTTTTTTTTTTTTTTTTTTTTTTATTAAACAGTGGTTTACTGAACAAGTTGCTCTTTCTTTAAATAAATTCAGTTATAATTAAAAATTTCTTAGTGATATAAATCTATATAAATTATATTTTTCTTATTACTTTAAAAGAGATATTGTAAAATAACAGTGCAATTTAAAATATCTGTTTCCTTTTTGAACATAATTTATACCTATATAAATTATAAATCAGAAATAAATTATATAATGTAGTAATTATTATGAAGAAACATTTATCAGTGTTGAAAACAGTTGTGCCACTGCTTAATATTGTGTGAAAAATTATATTTTTGTGATAAACTGTGATGCATTTTTTTCAGTATTCTTTGAACACAAAGTTCAAAAATTTTTAAAGAAGTTTTAAAGTCCAAAATCGTATGGAACATTGTTAAATACTGGCACTTTTGATCAATTTAATTCATGTCTGCTGAATAAAGGCATCCAAAAAATATATATATAAATTAATAGTTATGAATCAGTTTCACAAAAATATGAAGCTGCACAACTGTTTTCGGCATTGATAATAACATGACACTGACGAACGGAGTAATGGCCAATGATAATTCAGTTTGCCATCACCAAAATAAATTAAATTTGAAAGTATAATAAAATAGAAGGTAAATTTAAGTTGTAATAATAATTCACAATGTTACGGTTTTTACTGGATTTATCAAATAATTGCAGCTTTGGTGAGCATAAAAGTCTTTTTTTTTTTTGTTGAAAAAAATAAAATAAAATCTAAAACAAAACTATCTTAAATATTTCAAACTTTTGGAATCCAGCATGTAATTTGTTGTAGTTGCGTTAAATGTTGGTAATTATTGCTCTGGCTTCCTCTATTTTGTGTAGATGTGGTTGACATCCATATATTATATCTGTGATCTCATGTGTTTTTCCGACTTTTCCAAATACTTGATTCTTTTACACTCCGGAAACAATGTTTTCAGAACAAACTATTAAAAAAAACAAGTGACAACATAAATCAAAGTACATCCAATGTTTGACGGCCTGTCAGAACCGAATCATTTTCGGCAGTATCATGTAATTTGTAGACGGTCCTTCTGATGGTGATGACGTCACATCATTCCATAGGCATGAACGTGTTTTTAAGCCTTTTAAAAACATCGACTTCTGCAGAAAAATGAATTGTAGGTACTGCTCATTATAGTCGGTAATGAAAATTAATTGTAAGTATCCTTTTTAAATGCATATTAACAAAGCTATTGAATATGGAAGTCCGAATGTGCGAATATGAAACCAACTTTACCGCAGTAGATCCTCCTGAACAAGGACTCAGGCGAGGCTGTGTTTGCAGTGATGTTTGTGAACTGTTTTGACGTGAGACCAGTGCTTAATTTGAGCCGGTGTTCCGACACTCTGTGCTACCTCTCAGAATGAGCTTGTTGGGTCGTTCTTGAACGATTCGTTCATTTTGAACGAATCTTTAATGTGACTCGGGAAGAACGAGTCGTCTCGGGGAGTGATTCGTTCAGTCGCGCATGCGCAACATCCTATAGGTTCTGTACTGGAATTAGACACGTGATGAACGAACGACTCAAACCCGAAGACTCGAGAGATAAGAGGTGAGGTGAGCTAATCATAGACTGAAGACCCAGGTAAACAACGAATGAATCTTTTCTGTTTCTTATTGCAGTTTTGTATTGTTTGTAGTGTGATCAACGTTTGCGTTAGTAGACGTGTTAGGG